CAACAGGCTTATGAGACATGAGTGCATGAAACAACTTTATCTCTGACTCTAAATCCCAATCAAAAGAGCCAGGAGAAAGTGTAGACTCACAAGACTTCATCATAGGGCCAAGAAAATGAACCAACGCCGGGCGTTCAAGAAAATCGTAAAGGTGCAATGCTAATGTCAAATATAAAGATATTTTAAAAGGTTTCATTGTTATTTTTTCTTGATAAAAAACAACATTTTTTGGAATTAACGACATTTTTACCATACTATTTATGAACTTTCAAGCTCATCTAGGATGATTTGGTGCAATTTTGAATGGAGGAGCAATTTCAGATTTTAATCACAATTTATTTACAGCAGCTATGCTTAAGATGATGGCATAAAACTAGCAATCTTAACTTTAAAGTAAATGACCAAGTTGGCTAATACGGGATTACTCCACTCTTATTTTACACCTATATACACAGTTCGAACATCCGGATGAAAACAGATGGGTATTGGGGTTAGAATGCACATATTTTTCAAGAATAAGTTAGAGAATATTTACAAGAAAACAATAAATTTATAAATCAAGAAAGTTTCATACAGCATAGTAATCTAGGTCTTGGATACGTAGGCGGACACGCAATATATATCGACAGTAACTTGTCTCGGGTGAATCACCTGAAAAATCATGACTGTAGAGATTAAGTAATTTCTAAATTTTACTTGACCAATGTGAAAGTAATATTTAGTTCACAATAAAAGTGTGAAAGGGCAATGCTATTTTTTGATGCCACGGTTATTAGAGGAAATGGTGTATAAGGCAGAGATGCTTATGTGAAGTAAGCATATAGCAGTTCTCTTCCGAATTTCACTTCTAACCGTAGCTCTATAAATAAGACTGGAATTTTGAAGATTAGAGCATAGCAGTTTTCGATATATGTAGTCTTGGAAAATAATTGTGCTCGAGACCTTTTAATAATAATAAATTTTTAAAGAGTAATAAATTTGCAGCCTGAAGCTATTTTGTCAGAGATAGGCAAGCTAGGACCTTTTCTAATTTCAGGCTTGAGTCACTCTGCTTTCTCTATGAAAATAAACGAACTAAATGGAATTTGAGAAATAAAATAGTTTTCAGAGAAGCTCTGGCATTATTAATTTTTATAGAAATAGCTCTGACCCATTATCAAGATCCTGCTTTCAAAAGATTGTTATTGGTGAGATCTGTGGAGCTATTCGCCAATGATTAGCAAAAAATAGTTGCAACGGCAGCTAGTTAAAACGGTCAGAGGTGGCTAAATAAAGAGACAAAGCTGGATACAGGATATTAGGACCTCAAATGCATTGATTTGCCTATTATAGTTTATATGCTACTAAAAGCAAAAGATAAGTTATCAGACTTAATAGATTATTGAATACACTTAGGTTAGGAATATAGTTGGAAACAAAGTCCCCTGGAAAAGTAAAATGAGTTATGAACTTATAATTGGGTAATTCCACCAATTGCATGAGTAAACCTCATGATGCCACTAAATTTCACTTTGTCTTACATTCTAAAATCATATCACCTGTAGGTTTCGATTTGCCTAGGTCTCATCTATACTTTAACGGTATTAGATACAGAGTCATAAGAATAGTTCCTACGGTTACTACACGGCCACGGGTTCTAGTCCTTCATAAAGCAGATGTGACCTTTAAGGTGATAAAAGTCCCTAAATATGTGAAGAAAAACTGGGTTTCGAAGAATTTATAAATTATTAATTGTGATATGATGTTCCATTTCCTAAAAATCATGGTTTATCAGAAAACATTTAAAGCAGGTTTGAGGCAACCAACCAGCCATATGGGATGACTCATTTATATCACAATGTTAGGAGTATAAAAAAGTGACTACTGTTGCAGCTGATCATCTTATCTCTTGGCTTTGTAAATTTCTGCGCTATTTCTTAAAGTATCAATTCTTGCTCTGATGATATTTGTCAGAGTACCGACGTATCTGGTTCGCATGAAGATAAGCCGAGGGCTTTTTCGCACAATTCGACATTTTTTTCTTTGTGGTAACTACCATTTGGGTTCCAATGAGACCATTTAACGAATTCCTTCTAACCAATTTTCCATTCGAAAAGCAAAGACATGTCACAATAAAGGACCCCCAACTCAAATTTTATTGTGAGCTTGTCAATTAAGCAAATTGGTTTTGCCATTATGATAGACTGACTAGCCTTTTTATATATTTCGGTATCGATACTATCATTAGTTATTCATAAGAATTTAATCATCCTAGGTGACTGAAGGTGGCTTCGTTTATCCCACAAACTTTGTTATCTTTAACATAAAATCATTATGCTGTAGTGAACCTAAAATGGCGTTTTATGTCTGTTGGTTTCGTAAGTTGGCTCACTTGCTTACAGGCTTGCACTTCACTTTCGTAACCAGAGTCATTTTAGGACTTGGTCATGCTTTTCTTTCTATCAATAAACTTTGATCAGTCAGGTATAACTGAAATATTATTTCATGTGAAGTTTTTAGCACATGGAAATCCAGACAAATACACAATCTAAAGTCTAATAAAATTTGTAAATTTTAACTACAACTAACGAATCATTCTATATTTACCTAGAAATATATTTTTCACTCTTATAAATAATTAAATATCGCATGTAGGAGAGAGCCTAATACTTTCCTTAACTTAATTTCAATATGAATGTTTTGCAATACTGATTTCAGGCTCCGACACTTTACCTCATATGACGATAAAAGCTTAGCACTTTATCATCTAAAACGAAATAGGACCTCAACGTCTTATTGGAACCAAAAAGCAGTAGAACTAAGGGATTAGCAGTCATATTTTAGTGATTTTGGTATTTGAGTAGAGCCTTGAGAGGTATTCACCCTAGTTCGTTTAGGGTGATGAAGCATTGGTATTATAATTTTCCCACAATGATATGAGCAGAGCTGACGTTTCCATTGAATTTCACATTGCCTTGCTTTCCCAAAATTCAATGGAAACGTCAGCTCTATTCATATCATTGTGGGCAAATCCTACTACCAGTCCTTCATCATCTTAAACGAAATAGGGTGAATACACCTCATATTACTGATTTACTGGGAATCTTGAAACTCTACTCAAACACTAAAAATAAGTAACGTACATGATTTTTATGGCAAATATATGTTTGCTTTATCGACAATCTCACCAAAGAATATGATATGACATAAGGCCTGATCTTCCTTGAAATTCACTTATCCCCTGTGATTCAAGGGCGCTCGTGGCAATGTGGCCGAGTTATTAACGTGTCAAGCTCCCATTCTGCATTGCCACGGTTCGACTCCCACTGGGGGTGTTGATAAGACCGATGCGAGGTAGAAACTGCAGTCCATCCTGGATGAGAACAACTGTTGGTAAAGCAAGGCAATGTGAAATTCAATGAAAATTTTAGCTCTGCTCAGATAATTGTGGGAAAATTCTACTACCATTTCTTCGCCACCTTAAACGAAATAGGGTGAATAGCTCTCATATTATCTTCTAGTGAGACTGACGTAAGAAGATTTACGTCGTGCACTTCAATAGGAAACTAATTTCTCCACAATAAACAAAAATGTAGGCATATTATTCGCTGTTTGGCTGAAGAACGATTAATATAAAAAATTCTTGACAAAAATCATTTTAAAGTGCTGAGAATTTGTCCTACCCCTTATAATAGACGACTATAGCATTTTTAGCTCTAGCCTGTATTCTAGGGTGAAATTTTAATCAATTAACCTTGTATGATATAGACATAAGTTTCAAAAAGGTCTTATCTAATTCAGGGCAAGTAGCATTAAACTAGCTTAAGATGAATAAGAAAAGTCATTAGAATTTTTTTTGTAAAAATAAATTTTTTCCTGAAACATTTCTTACAGAAAAATTTAACAAAAACTAAGTTAAATTAATAGAACCCAATATATATTAAGGAATATCATGTGAATCTAGGTCTTCCTACTAATATTATGATAATTAACGATCTTACATTATTTAAATTTGATTAGCAAAAATAATATAAATAGCGTAAGTAAAAAACATTGTTAGCAAAACTTCGGATTATATATGTTAACTATAAAGATTTATATGAATTAAAAATTCGGGCTTGTCATATTCTTCAGCTGTGGGCCCGGCGGCTTGTTTTCATTGGGGTCTTCTGCCTATTTCATCTATGTCTACGCCAAATTTGCAGGTATCTATATTTGGAATAAAATCTTAATCCTAAATTTTTAGAAGGCAATTGACCTTGTTACAAAGGCAACTGAAGCTGATAAAGCAAAGAATTATGAAGAAGCTCTTCGTTTTTATGAGCATGCAATAGAATATTTTCTGCACGCTGTAAAATGTACATATAATTAAATTATTTGACTTTGTCAGATGAAGCATATTCAGATAAATCCAAAGAAACTATTCGTGAAAAATGTGTAGCATATTTAGACAGAGCAGAGAAAATCAAGGAATATATATCTTCGGGAAAAAAGAAATCGGTATTTCCACACATTCTACATTGCTTAAATTTTTATGATAAATACACCAATCTGGCACATTTTATAAGCAATTTAATATTCTATTAGCTGTGAACTATAGTTTTAGTTCCGTTCTTG